ATGAACAGGTTATTGAGCTCCGGAGCGTCTCTCCGCTGTATCTGATCTTGTATTCCTTTAAATGCCAGGCACATATCAGCTACCCTTTGCAACAGCAACTATGGGATTGCACTTGGGGACAGGAACAATGTCTGATGCTTCTTTTCACACGGGGATCAAGTATAGCTCTCATCAATGTATTTACTTTCATGAGTGGTTCCACTGGACTTGTAAATTCATGAATATTTCAGTGGACTTCTCAGTAAAGCAGCAATTTAATGATTTATTGATGATCTTATTCAAGCAGTATGTCGCAGGTGGCATTTCCTCGTTCTTGTACCTGTGTGTGTGAATATCAGGATGTGCGATCTGTAAGTACACAGAACACATGGAGAAATATATTAAGCCATGACAGGCCTTTTGATGCCTCAAGAACAGTAGCTGAAAAGGCAGTCACTGGAAAACCAAGATCTCTAAATTTAGTTTTGGAATTTCCCGAGTTCTGACTAAAACAGGTTTTATTTCACATCTGATGATCAGGGAAACATATCTGCATCTGAATTTGGTTAGTTGTTTATCATCCCTCCTCCACTATTGCCATCTGTCCAAGGTTTCACTTTTTTTTTTAAAGGAATTAATGATTAATTTGTTGGACGCTGCAGAAAACAAACCTGGGAGCAAACGCACAGGTGCATTTTATTTTTAAAATGTGCTTTTCTTAACCATGTTAGAACTTTTTTAAAAAAAACAAAATAGCCATTTGATAGTACATTGCTTGAATCTTGCTTAAAAATGACACATTTTGTTGAAGCTTTTCTAGTGCTTATTTTGCAAAAACATCAATTCAACGAGAAAACCCACCATATATATCGCATGACAGGAGAGTGCTGATTGGTTAGCAAGTGGACTTTAATAGAGCCATCACCATGGCAAATACACCCTTTATAATGATTGACAATTAAGTGTCATGCCTCCCTGGGTCAGCGCATTGGAAATCAATCCCTGCAATTCTTGCAGTCATTGTAAAAGCTCAAGGTTTTATTAAAGTTCACAAAATTCCCCAATTTACCCTGCCTTTGGTACTCCAGTAGACAGAAAACACATACTTATCAAGAATGACTCTTAATTATAGATAAATATGTTTTAAAATACAGGTAAACAAACTATTAGAAGCAATTGACACATCTCCTCTACTAATTAAAACTCTTAACCCATTATAAAACTGCACCCTGCAGATTTAAAAGAAACCATTGTTGTTATGGATGGATGGAAAACCTGTGAAGGCAATTTATTGGTCTCTGTTCACGGTTAATTGTAATGGTCCTTCTCGGCTTGCCATGACTTGCCGTGTCTCTTGTGCTCTCTCACGCTCTCTCGTGCTTTTTCTTTCGTGCTCTTTCTTTGTTTCACGTGCTCAAGCTTCTTTGACTTTACTGCAGGAGGCATACAGTGACTGATCTACCGCTTAAAGTCTCTGACTTGGTTAAAAACAGCAGTTTCTAGCCACTGCTGATGTAAAGTAAACTGGCTTTCTTTAGGCTTTACATCTTTTTTAACCGCAGAGAAAAAGACAGCATCTTTTCCAGAGGTCTAATATCTTCTGATCCTCACGTTCACATCCACAAGCTGTCCAGCTACCTGGGAGCCAATCACATTGTTCGCAGGTAGAAGGCCTTTGTCATCAAAAGCTAATCATTACTTTGCAGACCAATCAGCTACTTGTTGCCAGCCGAATCTCATTTTGTTCACATCCTCTGGTGTCAGTTCATCTGCAATTAGACCACTCCCACTGGTTGAACAAACAATAGGTTAAAAAACACTTACAATAAGTGCTGGCAGCTTTCTTTTTAAAGGGCATAAATCCTTTCCACATCCTTGGTTCTTTAAACAGTCCTTTTCCCATTTCTGGCCACAATCAAAAATGCAGAAATAAAAAGATACACTTACAAAACAGCCAGACTTTGTACAAGATTTTAACCCAGGCAGGATGATAGTTTTGATTGGTCACAGCACTGCTCTGAGAGATTAGCCAGTGAATGGCTGTCACCTATTTTGAGTTGAAATAGGCACAGTCCAGTGTACTTGTTCTTTCTGTCTGCAAAGAATAGAGCCATGTGCATTAATATAACTTCCAGTGTATGCAGTGTATTATGCAGTGAGCTCAACTAACAATCCTTAATTGGTTGTCAGCAAAATTGTTTGCACAATCAAGATTGTGTAGCAAATGTTATCCATTTGCAAGATTGCATCTAATGTTAGACAATTTGTTGTGACGTGTGCAAGCCCAGGCTGGTTGGGTACAGTCAGCATCTTGTTATGAATAGCCAAAGGATTATGTTATTCAATATAATCTGCTAATCTTTAGGATGTATGGCCTACATAACTGCACTGAAATTGCCATGCCACATTACTCATTTGTGTGATAGGCAGAGTTGTTGTGATCAGAATCTGATTCAGAAGCATGACAGTCACTGAGGATGTACCTGTACCATTAAGCATGGTCAGCTGACCAGGTTGGCTTGAACAACTGACACCACTCCTCTAATTTCTGCAGTTGTTCAGTGACTACACTCAGCAAAGATGAAGCTAAAATGACATTGCACAACTTTCTTCAATTCTAGGCTGAAGGAGGAAGGGGAAAATGAACATGCATTTTATCTTTATCTTCAAATTGGGACCTTGTGGGGCAACGTTCCTGTCTTACAAACCACCAAAGTTTTTTTTATTGTGATTATTGTGGGAAGGAAGAGAAATTTGTTTCTTTTTTTTAATAATATCTTTTGTACCTCTTATCCCTGGAATATCTTGAGCGTTGATGTGACTGTCACCAAATCACACATGTTAGGTGGTTTGGCGCCAGGTTGTCTGTTCCTGCTGGCACTAGTCAGCAAAATGTTAGCATTGGAAAATTCAAAACTTTCTTCTCCTTTTGACTGTTTTCTTTGAAGTGGATCCCTTTCAAATCCCTTCTAGTGGGTGGTTTGTGTTCTCACAAAGCTGTTGTGGCTAAAGTTCTATTCTGCACAGTGGAGAGAAAGCTCTCCCTGCCTCCCCTCAGTAGTACGTAGCCTACAATGAGCTCCCTTGATCAATGAGTGACTCATATTCTGGTCGGATTCTGCAAATTGTTATTTACACAGTGTAACTGTGTAGTTATATACAGTCTAACTACTGCTAGACTATAACGTACGCTCTATAATGGTTTATTTTAAATACCTCTGTCACCAGTACTGGCTATCCTGTCCCTCAATCACGATTACTGATGCCACTGCTACAATATGCTATAAAATCATGACCTCATTATCATATATCCATTCTCATTTATACAACACTGGCAAAGCTCAGCCATTAGGTGCTTGGTTCCCTAAAGCTAAACATTACAAAGTCTACATACAATAGTGGAAACAGTGTACTAATGTTAGGGGAGTTGAGACCAAAGCCAGGAAAACCTTTCAGTTAGGACCTAGGCTATTCATGAGTGCTTTCTGACAACACCTCTTTACACACCGATGGTGATGAAAATCTGAAGTTCCTTCCACCTAAAGGCTGCTGAGGTTTGTGCCAATTGAAAATTTCAAAATTTTGACAGATGGATTTTTGTTTGGTAAGGCTATTGAGGGTTATGGAACCAAGGCTGCAAGGGGGAGGTGATGGCTTGGCATTATTATTGTTAGACTATTAGGGGCAGCACAGTGGCTCGATGGTTAGCACTGCTGCCTCACCGCGCTAGGAACCTGGGTTCAATTCCACCCTCGGGCGATTGTCTGTGTGGAGTTTGTGTATTTTCCCTGTGCCTGTGGGTTTCCTCTGGGTGCTCGGGTTTCCTCCCACAGTGCAGGTTAGGTGGATTGGCAGTGTTAAATTGTCCATTGTGACCAGGGATGTGCAGACTAGGTGGATTAGTCATGGGAATTGCAGGATTACATGATAGGGAAGGGGAATGAGTCTGGATGAGATGCTTGTCGGAGGTGTAGACTCAGTGAGCTGTCAGGATTCTATAATTCTATGATTAATCCAGAAACACAGCTAATGTTCTGAGGATCAAGTTTTGAATCCCACCATAGCAAAATTCTGGAATTAATGGTCTAATAATGACCATGAAACCATTGATTTTCAAGAAAGGTCACTGTCCAGTCTGGTCTATATGTGACTTCAGACCCACAGCAATGAGGTTGATTCTTAACTGCCCTCCATGCCATTAGGGCTGGACAATAAATGCTGGCCTAGCCAGTGACACCCACATCCTGTCATTGAATGAATAAAGCACAGATGGAAATTAAGATATGAATTAGCTATTATCTGATTGAATGATCGAACAAGCTCCAAGAAGCTGCATGACACACTCCTTTGCCTAATAAATTGATCAATAGAGACATTTGATGAATGGATGTGTAGGATTAAGGACACTACCTCTTGGAGAACGGAGGAAGAATGGCATTCCTTAAAGTATTATTTACAACACGTTTGACTATTATGACTTGACGCTCACTCAGAAGATTGTGGTTCACGTGCGATGTTTGAAGTGCAACATTCTGTGTTCACTCTGTACTTTTTATCATAGTATGTGGCACCAAATATCTGCAGGGTCTGTTTGGAGATGAAGAGGTGGTATATCGAGAGAGACTCGTTTATCTTGACAACGGTCACTAAATGGAATTTATTTTTGCTGCACAGTTGAGCTCCATGTATAATTGGGTGTTTGGCAGAAAGTGGAGGAGCTTAAAATGGAACCATTGTCTGAGCTATTCAGATGTCATGGGCTGAATGGCTTTTTCTTGTTCTTGGTGATATTTCGGGTTCTCTTTTATTGGGATAGGTCAATGTGTGGCTGAAGTGTCAGTAATTTATAAACTAAGATTGTCCTGACATCCTTGATCCTTCTCAAGCTAAATTGCTTTCTGTTTACTTATTTGCTAAATTTCACTGATTCCATTGCTTGTCTTGTTCGTGAAGCTAAATGTTGCAGGAATAAATATATAACTTTTCAAAAACTGATAACTTTTTACATTTTTCTTTTCCAGGCACTACCCAAAGTCGTCATTCACTGCTGTGGCAGATACCCCAGAAAACCTACGCCTGAAAAAGCAGAGCAAGTTGCAGAGTCAAGTAAGTAACTTGGGCAGAAACGTATAATGCTGGAAATCCGAAATAAAATCAGAGTGCAGGCATATTCACCAGGTCAGGGAGAAGCAAAACTAATGTTTTAAGTCAGTGATGCTCTGATAAATACCAGTTTGTCTTTTATTGCTGTGTCAGCTTGGAATCTCTTGTTATCATCTTTTCCCTGGGCAGCTCATTCCCGGTAGGCTGCTGAAGGATGCCAGTTGTGTCAAGCTGTATGCATGAGGTTTGGCGAGTGACAAATGCTAGCTTTGTAAAGTATTGGTACCTTTTTGCTATTACAATTTTGTTTTGAGCATTTGTTGCCAAGTGGAGTCATACATCATGGAAACAGACCCTTCAGTCCAAGTTGTCCATGCCAACCAGGTTTCCTAAATTAAACTAGTCCCATTTGCCTGCATTAAGCCCATATCTCTCTGAACATTTTCTTATTCATGTACCTGTCCAAATGCCTTTTAAATGTTTTAATTGTACTTGCTGCTAACACCACCTCTGGCAGCTTGTTCTGTACACACGCCACCCTCTGGAAAAAGTTGCTCCTCAAGTCCCTTTTTAAATCTTTCTCCTCTCACCTTAAACCTATGCCATCTAGTTTTGGACTCCCCTATCCAGGGAAAAAAGCTTTGAGCATTCACCTTATCTATGCCCCTCATGATTTTATAAACCTCCTATAAGGTCACTTCTCAGCTTCCGATGCTCCAGGCAGAAAAGTCTCAGCCTGGCCAGGTTCATTTGAGCTGCTGTTGTGCTGTATTCATAGTGTGTGTATCTTCTGTGACCATTAAAAGTTGCCCAGTTCATATTGCAATGGGATACTTAATGTAATGACTTGGGCACATCAGTGTAACAATTACACCACTGTATTAGGAACTGAGATTTTGTGAATTTAAGATAGCTGAGAATAATTCCCATAAAATAACAGATTATCTGCTTAGTCATTGGCGTGGAAAGGCAGGAATCCATGAGAATTAATGTCAGGAGACCAATGGCAGAGGATGGAACAGTTGTGTGATGAAAGCTCTGGGAAACTAGAATTGGAAACCCTAGCTAACAGAGGATTTCATCCATTTGATGTTTGGCTCACCTCTAGAATGACGCTCAGTAAGTACCTCTGTGGATGAATATACAATGCAGTCCATCAAGTCGAAGCAAGTCGTAACCTGTTCTGTTGATGTTACTACAATATGAATGTGACAGCAAAACTGGCTAAGTAAATGGAGCTCTGTCTCATTTATGAAGATTTGTTGCCTTAATAGTAATAAACACAGGAATGAACTTGTTTTTATGTAAGGCCTGATGTAAGGGGCTTCGGATCATCTCAAAGTGCTTTGAAGTTCTTGTTGTAAGAAATGTGGTGTACACTGCACACAGCAAGATTCCACAAACAGTGAGGTGATAATTATTAGGGTGTTGGTTTTTGTAGAGGATGCTGGGAAAACTTCACAGCTCTTTGCAATCATATCGTGTGATTTGGAATGCAGCACCTTAGTGCTACTCTGGATGTGTTGGATCAAAGCTCCAAGGTGAAACTTGAACCTTTAAACTCTCTAACTGAGAGGACAGTGGTACTAACTGTGCCAAAGCTGAGGCCATGCAACTTGTGTCACCAGATAACTTGACAACTATTTACTTTACCCTTGGTTCTGTATGTGCAGTGGAATGACAACATTCGGGCTAAGCAATTCCACTGAGTACCTTCTTTAGGTACCATTCTTGCTGAGGTGTGAATTCCATAAATTTCTGCAGACCAGAAGCAGAATCGATTTAATTGGACAGCAAGCTTGAGACAAGGCAGTTCTACCGCCAGTCCCAATGATCAAGCCAAATCCATGTGGCATAATGTATGTGCCTTCAGTTGGGGAAATAGCCCAATGTTGGAACATTTGACTGCAGATCAAGAGGTCTTTGGTTCAAGTCCAGGTGCCCTCTTCATTTTGAGAAGGAGGTAGATATAGCTCTTGTGGCGAAAGGGATCAAGACCGATGGGCATAGGGCAGGATTAGCTCAATGATCTGCCATGAATCCTATTGAATGACGGAGCAGACTTGAGTTATATAGCCTACCCCTGCTCCTATTTTCTGTATTTCGGAATGAACCACAATTAAACAAGGTTGCAATTCCAAATTGAGAATAGAAAATTCTCCATTATAATGGGACAGTTCTGCTACCGATTTAAAAGCTAGACTTATTGACAAAGCTGACAGCAATTCCAACCTTTTTAGAAACAAATTGCAGCTGTTCTTTAACATTGTGCATTTATATTGCACCTTCAACATAATGCAATGTTGTTCGTTATGAACGCATGCTTTGTTAAAGCTCATATTGTCTTTTTAAAATGCATTTAATACAAAACCTTCCAAGAGCATTTTTACTTTTTTTATAACTTGAAAACAATAACCCAAAAATTGTTTATTTTACTGTTGATAAGTTAAATAGATTAATAGAAATTTCACACTTTATTAGGTTCGCTATTCCATTAGTAGGGAAGCTCTGTAATTGAATCAATAGTACTGCACAGACCAGCATTGATTGTACCTTCTAGTAGATACTGGTGTTTGAATTTCAGCAAATATGCGCACATAGACTGTAGCATCCTGATCAATTACCAGCAGCACCACTGGATTTGATATTTTGTTGCAGCCTCGAACTGTCTTGAAGGGGGCATGTGTGCAACACGTGCCTTAGTGCCAAACCAGTCTGCTTTGCTTCCCAAGACTAACCTTTTATCGATGGAGATCTTTTTTGAGTAAAGCAGTGACGAGATGACATTGTAACCTTGGGGAAGCCAGCAGTATAAAGATTTTCCAGACTAGTGAAAAATGCCAAATAGGCTGCAGAGAGAAATTACCATCTCTTCTCTCAATCGGTTTGTGGGAGCTTTTGTTGTCATTGCTTCTTTTCCCCTGTTGCTGATTTAACAGGGCAGACAAGAGGTCTGTTCAATAATTTCAAATCATCATTTGAATGAGATGTTTGAGTGATGTTTGACTCATTGATTCTGAATTTGCAGACCTGGAGGCTGTGCTGGTGCAAGCAACCAATATTCTGTGTTCAAAGTGTGACCATGGCTATTTCGAGATTGTATATAGCTCTTCCGGTGGAGCAGCCTTTTATTTTACAATGACATTAAACTGCCAGGCCATGGGGTTTTTAAAATGTAGTTTTCTTTCCTCCTCCCTCAGGACATTGCAATACCTGCTCAAGGCGATATTTCCCATAGGAACATGAATAGGCTGTTCAGCCATCAGAAATGTCCACCATTTTAGATCGTGTCTTATCTTCTCGATGCTATTTTCCTGCAATCTCCATTTTTGTTTTCTCAAGTGGTAGTTATTTGCTAATACTAATTTATTTGAATTCTTCATTTAAACAAGTCCCTTGGCTGCCTAGTGTTTTCTGTATCTTCGTCCATGAATGCAGACTCTAAGTAATGATTAAGTTTCTCTTCTACTTCCCTGTTCTCCATGATGACTTCTACTGTTTCCAACAGTAATGGGCTCCATTTATCCTTGGTAACCTTTTTCCTTTCATGTATGAATAGCGTTTACAACCCATCTTTTTATATTCCTCACCAGATTGCATTCATAGTCCTTCTTTGTATTTTCTTATTGGTTTCTTTTGACCGCCTTTTCTGGGTCCTAGGTTGCTCCCAATGTGGCTTGCCTTTTATTAATAGCATCCTTTATAAGCCATTCCTAATGCAATCTTTAACAACTTTTGTTGACCATGGTTGATTCAACTTTTTCCTTTGTGTGTTTGTGCTGTGGAGATATGTATCTCTTAAATACTGGCTTACTGTCAAATCTTTCAGTGTATTTTCCTAATCCACCATGGCCAACTTGCCCTTATACTGCCATAGTTTCTGAACTTCAATTTAAGAACTCCGGTTCAGAAAGAGCTATGTTGCACTGAAACTTCATATTAAAGTCCATCATATTGTTGTCACTACTTCTTAAAAGGAAATACAACAAGATTTATGAAATAACCCTTTCTCATGACACCACACAATCTAAAATAGCGCAATCCCTATTGGCTCTTCAACATGCTGTTCCAGAAACCCATCTCGTACACACTTCAGAGATTCTTCCTCCACAGCATTATTGATGATTTGGTTAACCCAGTTTATATGCAAACTTAGGTTGTCTCTTAATATTGCATTACTCACATCACATGCATCTCTAATTTCTTGATTTATAGTGTGCCTAACATGAGTGCTACAGTTTGGTATTGTGTAAATAACTCCAACCAGTGTTTGCTTTCCCTTGCTGTTTTCTCGCTTCATCCAATCCTGATCATTTGATTGATTGATCATCTATTACAAATTTGCTGATGTCATTCCTTATGAGGAGTGAAACTCCATTTCCTTTTTTCTTTCTTTTCTTATCACTCCCAAGTGTAAAATATCATTGGATATTGAGTTCCCTATCTTGGTCACCCTATAGCTGCTTCTCTAATGGCAATTAACTCCTGTTTCCTGAAAATTGTACATTCAAATCATTAACATTTTTGTGCCATGCTATATGACTGTGATGAAGTACCTTTAGTTCAGTCTTTTTAACATTATTGTCCATTTTTGGTTCTATTTTTGCTATTACTCCATCGTTTTGCTTCCCTTGAATTTGAGCATGTTCTTGGGTTTCTTGGGTTTCTACCCACCTGCTAATCTTGTCTTAGATTTTCTCAAACATCCCTGTGAGGCTGTTTTTTTCCCAGTCCTTTCAAGATGCAAAAATCTTCCATTTTGTACACATTCCACCTAACTTAGAACTTGGCTTAAATGGGTCAATTTGTCTCCTGTTTCTGTACTCACTAGTACGTGGGACTGGAACTATTCCAGATATTACTGCTTTGCTGATTTTTGCTTTTCAATCTCATTTCCTGTTCCCTGAAATCTGTTTTCAGGATTTCATTGCCCACTCCTATCCATGTATTTGGTACCAACATGGACCACCACCTCTGGTTGACCCTGCCCCAGAACAATGTCT